TATATATAAGTCTATAGATTATCAAAACAGAACATCAAAATGTTGAAATGTTGAAGAGAAGCCGATACATTTTATTCACTTTAATATTAACTTGGCAGTATGCAAATGAAACTCAATACACTTTTTCACCAATTAACTGAATTATATGATCCTTACAGACTATAATAAAGTAATAAAATACAACTAAAAGTCACAGTCTGATTAGCGACTAACCATTAAGGTATACAAATCGTCAGGCTTAATATGGAAGGCAGAGCAAATTTCAAATACAATACATAAGGGCATCATGAGTTGACTATGGAGGTGCAAATGCGGCTTAATGATCTAAATGTCCTGAGCAGTGAGAGGGACTTTTCTGAATGAATGGCAGATTTCCTTAGCCTCTATGGATAAATAGTGCTGTCACTCACACAGGTATCAGTGACCACAGGCACAGCTACAAGCAGTCAGAAGATGCAATGGTATATTTTCTCTTGCACTCCAATGCTTTTCCACCACTAACAGGGTTATTCACAAAAGGGCAACATAGCTGAACTGGAAAGTGAGCTGAATTGGAGAATTTTTCCAAATCAGCTATTTTGGCCTAGATTGTTCACTTCTCCTGTCTTCTCCAAACTCTTCACTCTTTTGTGAATAACCCTGTAACTTTTTTCAACAAAGTTAAAGTAGCTGCTCATCAAGTGCAAAATGACCTGAACACATCCTGAAGTGCAGGAACCCACAGCAATCAATAATTTGTCAGGTAACTGCAGGCAGATCAATTACAATATGAATTCTAATATTCTGTATATAGTCGATGCACTTTGAACTGCTTTACTGAATAATCTTACGTTTATTGGTTTGTTATTAGATCTACCATATTTTCCATATATGCTAAGATTTGTGCAAAAATGTTACACAAAAAAAATAGCATGCAGTGAAATAAAAAAAAATCTCTGAATACAACATACACCTTTGATTAGCAAATAAGCATAATAATGCAAAAATTACTAAAGCTAAAAGTGTGATACAGATTAAAGAATGTAAGAAAAAATAATTTCCTGGGAGATCCATTTGCTGCTTAAAACTCTATAATGCTCCGAAGCCTAAAGTAAGAAAGATAAAAAAAAATTGTTATTTGCAGTGTTTAAGAATTAAGCATTTTATGTTTTCAGTATAGTGGGAGCATATAGAAAAATTCAACATGAGTTACTTTCACTATCAATACGTTAATCGTTTTAATCTTTTGACTTCAATCAGAATTAAGTCACAAATTAATAGTAAATTTTGTTTTTTGAAGGACTGATCTAGAAATGTGTTAATTTAGCCATCTACAATATATGCAGTGCAGTAAATATATACCGTATATATTAATATTGAGAAAATTGATACCAATACACAATCCAGAAAAACATGCCTTGGTGCTCCACACAGTAGCAGTAATATAGCAAAAGTTCAGTAGGCACTCAGAGGTCTTCAAACAAAAGTAAACGCTTAAAGTATAGGTTTTATTATACCAATGTTTTGATGTTTACACTACACTTTAGGCATTTATTCCTGCTTGAAGACCTCGGAGTGCCTACTGAATGTTTGGTATATATTATAT